CATCACAGGTTTGTGGTGTGGTTGATTTTTCACACCTGAGCTTTGTTTCACTTGTGTCTTGTTTTGTAAATGATGCTTTGTGTGTTTTAAAAAGGATAGATTCTTAGGAATTATTGAAGATGATTTATTGAAATATAGCATTTAGTTGAGCTATTTGGAAATTAGTTAATGATAACCCATCGTAACAGAATGCCTGCAGTGATAGGAATTAAGACAGGATCTCCTGGAGTCTAGACACTGGTGCCGGCAAAGATGAAGATGGAGATTTGGATAGAGCTGTGAGTGACCAGGTTCAGCAGAGATAGGGACAGGGAAGCAGGCAGATGAGTGATTACAGATTTTCCTTATTAAACTTACACATAAGCTTCATTTGAAATCCTGTCAGTTTCTTTTTTCTGGTGCCTAACCATTTCATGTCCTGCATTCTTTTGGATTATTACCTTTGAATTTGTTTTGTTATGCACTTTAGCAATTAGCATTTAGTAACATTGTTTTTTGCTCCATTTACTAAACAGTTCAAATGTTTGTGTCAACATTTGAACTGATTTGTTATAGATACAATGCAGAAACTTCAGCTATTCATTGTTACATGATATTTGTCTGAATAAACATATTTCAAGTGATGATCAGTCACTGTATGCTGTTCTTATCCAGGGTTTACCAGGACCACATGGAGACAGGGGACCTGAGGGCCCCCAGGGAAAGCAGGTCTGCCACTTTCTGACAACTTTTACTTATCCTACCATGCACATCTGCTGTGACCTTTGCATTTCCTTTTATGTTGAGTATAAACAAGAGGTTAGAGTTTTTCTACCTCGGTAATAACTCTATAACACAGAAGCCGGTTGTCTTTTAATAGACCCCTGTGTGAAGACTTGGCAATGAGCCAATGTCTTCCCCATCATTACTTCCATTCAGGAGCTCAGGGAAAAAACATAATGAAAAAGTCTCACTCTAGGCTCTCCCAATACAGATTATGGGGTGCCCACAACATCTTCAGCTTTTCCAACAAGGCTTGCACTTAATAACACACATGGAAAGTCTGTGTATGCTCAGTGTCTCACCATGTGAGGACCTGTAGGCATTTGGAAAGATTACAAGGAGTCTTGGTGGTCCCTATGCAATTTGTGCAAGCACACAAGCAAGTCGAGTAGCTGTAAGACAAGTCTTTGTATTAATTCCTTGTATCAGTTCAGGTTAAAACTGTAGACAGAGACTTTATTAAACAGTCTAAGTGATTACATGATTTTGAGCTTATTCTTCTTATCTTTAGATAACAGCTACCATTACCCCAACTTTGAGATTCACCTTTGATGTAGTAATGACCTTTGGGCCTTCTTAACCTTATACACAGGAAAAAATAAAACATTTCAGTCCCTTTTCCATCTTTTTCATACAATGAAACCGAGCTACTAAAGGTTTAAATTAAGTGGTAGCAAAAGATGAGTGATATAAACATTGCTGTTCAGTACTTCTATATGCTAATGCTTCCAAGTCCAACATACAGTTGTTTAAATAATATGTTTGTGAATACAGGGTGAACGGGGCCCATCCGGCCCTCCAGGAATTCAAGGGGAGACTGGTATTGGGCTTCCTGGACCAAAAGTAAGTCATGTTATGAATTTGTTGTTATGTTATGAACTGTCCTCTGAATATTGATTGTCGTGATTGTGTTTGGGTGACTAATTTGCGCTAATATTTCTCTTCAGGGTGACATGGGATTCCAGGGCAGACCAGGTCCTTCTGGTCCTCCAGGAGTGGGTGAACCCGGCCTTCCTGTAAGTTCAGAAGCATCAGAGTCAGTGTTGGTGTTAGTGAGAGATCTGCTCTCTGAAGAAAGTCTGTATTTTGACTTACGGCTAGCTATATTGTAAGCTGATTATCTTTACAGGGACCTCAAGGACCACAAGGTGTTCAAGGGGAAAAGGGACCCCAAGGTGAAGGGTTTCCTGGGCCAAAGGTATTTCTTTAAATCTATCATTAGAGAATAAAAAATTCGGGGTTGTATTTAAGAGGCAGGCGAGTAAAAGGCAAAAGATATTTTTGAAAAGAATATGAAACATTATTAGTGTATCCTCCACCGAGGCAAATGTCCTACATTGCATTTAAGATAAGATATAATTTATTAATCGCAGATTTTGGAGGAAAAACAAACCTGAACCAAAGCCAATTTTAATAGGTTCTTTCTTCAGCCATGCTCCACTTCTCCCCAATTTTTGATAAATGTGACACTGGTAGTTTTGCATAATCTTGCAAATAGAGGAGGAAAACACTATTTTGAAACCATAAGAAATATGGCAAAAATATTGATCTGAATTAATCTGAGAGTGCTTCACCTCTATATGAAAACACACCTCTGATCTCACACTACTAGACAAAATGAGTGCTGCAGATAATCTGCCTTCATTATAATGATCTTTAAACTAACTACTTTCATCGTTACCAACTTCAAAATCTATTACAGTAAATATTCCATGAATCATTTGCTGTATCTGAAGGTTACAAAGACATAAATTGTGATTAAATAAGCTCCTCAGCGAGCATTACTAAAAGAAACAAAGAGTGTATGATTCAGTCTCAGGTAACTAGTTGATACACATCTGTCAAAATCAGCCTCTGTTCCAGCTCACTGACTCACAATACAGCCGTTCACTCAAGCGTGTATACACACTCTGTTGTTAAGCCTAAAAACTATGTTTTCCCCATGCTGCCACATGCTGCATTTTAAAACACACAGCAGACGTCTCATTCAAATAGAGATAGCTGGGATTCAACCAAGGGCTTAGCAAGACATGTTAATACTAATGACAGCAGGTCTTACTGTGTAGCAGCAAAGAAAACAACCTAACCACAGCGAAGTAAAAACAGTATAATAACCGAGTAAGAGTAAAAACCTGAAATAATGTTAGTAACACTCTCTTTATAAAGTTGTTGAAGTTTCTGTGTAAAGAATTCTAAAAGCAGTTTTATTTGTTGAGGGAATTAACACTGAAATGTCCTCAAGCAGTTATATGTTTTTAATCGCTTTCAGACTTTCTGGTGATTATACTTTTGCTATACCATCCTATTGAGAAAAAACCTCCTCTCCATTCAGATTTTTTAAATAAACAAACACTAGTATAGATAAAAGTATTGTACACTCAAAAATGGTCAGAAAGACAAACAAACAAAAACATGTCATTCCTGGGTCATGGGATCATTGTGAATCACTCAGCAACAGGAGCAAACATGCCCTCCTGCCATGCTTTACTGAAACAGTGTGATTTGGCTGTGACCCAATCTTGAGTGGCTGTTATGTAACTAATGGAGTTAACCTGATTTTGGTCTACAGGGGGATCGAGGGCTGCCAGGGCCCAGGGGACCGCGGGGACAGCAGGGTGTAGGCATCAAAGGAGAAAAGGTGGGTTGTAAATTAAGTTAATTAAGAAAATTCAGTGCAACAACAAAGACTGTTCACAGCAAAGACTAATGAAATCCACGAGGGGAAACTCCAGAAGTCCTTTAGGCTACAATTATAAAAATGTTGTGACTGAGTGAGGCAAAATACAGGAGTGCGTTAGATTAAACATCTGGTTACTGTGGGAATGTTAACGGTAGAGCATACAGCAGGGCTGCACTATATACTATACGATTAGGTAGCTATAACACTTGCTATAACACAATCTTTCATTGGCTGCTTGTGAGTTAAAACATTTATTAACCTGAAAAAAGGTTGATAAACACAACAAATGTGAAAATACAATATATGAAGATAAAATGAGTCTGGGAACTTACTGTACATAACCATATTTTGTATGTGTGTACAGGATATGATGAAGTGTAATCTATAAAATAAAAATGAGTTTTTGTTTGCAATGCTGTTGATCTTTACCGTCTTTCTCACGATATAAATTTCCTATACACTATAATACTAATTCTAGCATTTTCAGGAACAAACTAAAACCCACCGGGAGGCTGAGACTGGGCCTGCATACTTTTGTGCAACAATAGTGATTCCCTGAAATCAAAATCAACTTTAAATCTTTATTAATGAAAGGGAAACCAAAAGGACACAAATGTAATGCAAAGTGCACAAAAAAATCTCAGGGATCACAAAAGAGGAAAGGGATCCATTCACCCTCTCTTCTACAGCTAACACTGGGTGAACACATGAATGTTAACAGTAAGTATTTATGATTATGATGGTTTATTCCCAGGGAGAACTGGGCCAACCAGGATTGCCAGGGCCAACTGGACCAATAGCAGTGGGCATACAGGGAGAAAAGGTCAGGACAACATCTTTATCTAAATGCTATTTGATTGCCTTTATTTGTTCTGACACATATGCTGAGAAATTGGAATGCAGTAGCACCACACATTAAAATAACCCTCGAATCATTATTATTATTGTACAGGGAAATGAAGGACCAAGAGGCCCTCCAGGAGTCAGAGGTCTTCCAGGAGAAGGTCTACCTGGGCCCAAGGTTTGTTAAAAAAAAAAAACCCTTAAGATGCATATTCAGATTACAGGTTTACTTGTTTACTTTAGTCACGCAGACAAGATAAGAACTTGATTCCCGGTCAGTCTAGAACTAACTTTACCCTGTCCTGTTACATCAGGACAAAAGAATTTAGCTGCTTGCCATAGTTATCAAACAGAGACAGCAGACAATTAAAACTACTACAAATGAATAAAATAAAACGTAAAATGTTTCAAATTTAGAATTATTATTAAATCTGAAATATTAAGATTCAGATTTAAGTTTAATTAAACGTGGTAGGATATGACTAGAATATGACTTCTCTTCAAAGGGAGACCAAGGTTTACCAGGAGAGCATGGAGCTCCAGGAGAGACAGGTGTTGGTGAACCTGGGCCAAAGGTGAGATAAGACATTTCCTGAACAAAGTGTGTCAGGCTAATCCTGGTCTAGCAGCATAAAACAGTACTGAATACAGCAAAAGCTCAATGTGAAAACATTCTGCTGTTACAGGGAGAACCTGGAGCGGTAGGAGTGAGTGGCCTGCCTGGTCTGCCAGGAGAAGATGGAGCTCCAGGGCAGAAGGTAAAGCAGTATCTGGCTGATCATTTTAACAATGGTTATGAAAAAAAGTCTTATTATTTATTGAATAAACCCATTCGTTCTTTTAGGGTGAGCCTGGTTTGCCTGGTTTAAGAGGTTCTGAGGGGCCACAAGGAGTTGGTACTCAAGGCGAGAAGGTATGTTTATAATTCAGTATTCTTGTGTATCACACAGTTTTCTTAATGCTACTCACAAAATATATTTGGTATTCACTCCCAGGGCGACCAGGGTGTTAGGGGCATCCGTGGGTTACATGGACCTCCTGGGGTCTCAGGACCATCTGGACCAAAAGTAAGAATTTCACAGAACATAATGATAATATCTTACTGTGGTACAAAGCGTCCGTGGTAGTGTATACACATTAACCCAAACTTTGAACGAAGCCAAAAAAATGAGTCTTCTACCAGTTGTTGGCAGCACACTTGTTGTTAAAATAAAGACAAGTCTGAATAGGATCTTAAGTTCCTCAACAATTTCCTTCCAGGGTGAACGCGGGATACCAGGCCAGCAGGGCATGCCAGGGCAGCCGGGACGGTCCATAGCAGGTGCAAAGGTAAATAAATTTTCTCTTTACACTGATCTTGGTAAGCATCCACCGAGTAGTGGATAGTGTAGTCTGATGCAACATAATGCATCGAAAAACTGTTGCTGTAGTCAGACTTAACTGTCTTGTGTTCAGGGTGATATTGGTCCCGCTGGCCCACCTGGTCCTATTGGAGAAACAGGCCATGGACTACCTGGTCCAAAGGTGAATGCAGTCCTAATTTATTAGACACACTGATTAAAACACAAAGGTTTGGGCCTCATTGTTGAATTTGTTGTACCAGGGTGATCGCGGCTATCCAGGTTCACCAGGTCCTGCTGGCCCAAAAGGCCAAGGCATCCCTGGCCCTATGGTTAGTATCAACTGCCAAGACATGACAAATTTCTAAAAGTTTTTCCTGCAACTCTGTAATTAGTTAATGTTGTGCAAGGTTGCTAAAACTGGAATAATCTCTGTACTTTATCCAGGGTGCTCCAGGCCAGCCAGGACTACCAGGTGAGCCCGGCCCAGAAGGAGTAGGATTTCCTGGACCTAAGGTTTGTACCTACATGCTACGTGATTCTGGGATAATCTAGTTAGTCTGTTATTATAGTTTTTGCATCGCTGTTTTTTGGGAGGAGGGTTTGATATGTATAAGGATGCCTGTTTTATACTATCATGTCTTTTTCAGGGAGACATTGGGTTTAGAGGATTGCCAGGTTTGCCTGGTCCACCAGGAGAAGGCTTACAGGGACCACTAGTAAGAACGATTACAGTTTGATCTAATTGTTTTTAATTCTACATGTGAATTCTAATGTTGACAAATTATAATGTTGAAAGTTGTATTTTTAACATATTTAATGTATGTGCTGCTTTGTGTAGAATATGGATTCATTAATATACTTGAAATTCTGTGTGTTAAGGGCAATGTTGGAAGGCCAGGTCCTCCAGGCCCAACTGGACCTCCAGGAGAAGGTATTCAAGGTCCAAAGGTAAGTTTTTTATATGTTTTGCATATTCATTCATTCATTTTTGTATATGAAAGAGTGAAGCTGCATTTTATTGGTGCTGACATGTTTCACAAATGAACCGCCTGGCAAACTGGCCGCAGGATAAACACAAGAATAATTTATGACCTTTCTTGAGTTTGGATCTCTTCTGTATGATTCAGTGAATAACACGATCTAATTTCAGGGTGAGCCAGGATCGCAAGGCATGACTGGGCCTAGAGGGCCTCGGGGAGATGGGCCTCCTGGAGAAAAAGTGATGAATTTACATGCTTCTTTCAAATATTTTATTGATGTCGGATTACTTGGTCTCTGACTGATAATTTATTCTTCTGTTATGATAGGGTGATCGTGGACTACAGGGTGAGAGGGGGATAAAGGGTACAAAAGGAGACATGGGAGATCCTGGAGTCCCTGGTGAAATGGTAAAATAGACCAAAATAACAACGACAAAATAAATTACTCATATATGTGTTTTTAACAGCACAAAACTGAAACGTGAATGTTGTTTTTCATCCTTTTTCAAATTACAGGGAAGGCCTGGAGAAAAGGGAGAACCAAGCCTCACAGTAAGTTCAGTAATTCAACATTTTTTTGGGCCATTCAAAAAAGTAAAAAGATTTTCCACTGACATATGTTTTCCATATTTTTCAGAGAGAAGAAATTATCAAGCTGATCAAAGAAATCTGTGGTAAGATTGAGCCTAGTCTATTTTAATAATGATTAATAAACAATTGTGTAGAAACAGACAATGTGGCAAAGTAAAATCTGCAATTAAATCTTTTAAATCTGTGTGCAGAGGAGCTTTGAATTCATTACTGTCATGCTGGTATTTTATTAGTTTGCCAAAGCAGCTGCCAAAAAATATATGATTATGCCATTTGTTTGTCTGTATTTTTGAATGTCTGCATTCTAGACCACAGTCTTTAAATGCCTTTACAATGCAACACGGAGCACTGACATTGGCACTGATGGAGGATGTGCTCAGTATGTGCCCCTCTAGTTTAAACTTAGTCAAACATCTATGGATGTTTTGAACAAGAAATTAAAATGTTTTGATGACAGGTTAAAGTACTGAGGTGTTAATTAATACTATTATGTTTAGTAAGTAAAGTGCATGGAAAGACTGCAGTGCTTAACAAATGTATTAGATCATCTGTATACAGTATACATGCACTAGTGAGATAAAACAGAAAATGCTAGAATTGCACTCGCAAAAACTGGAGTGAAGACTTCTTAAACAGGTTTTTAGTAAATTAAAAACCATAATTAGTCATGGTATCTTCAGAATAAATTGGAATAAAAATATTCCACTGACACTGCAAATCCACGAGAACTTGTATTAGCTGAGGCAAGAACTAGCTAGTGGCCTAGTCGACACCTACTTATCATAAAGTTGCCTGACCCTAGCTTGTTTATCATTTTAATAGCTAAAAGAGGAAAATGATCTTTAAAGACCAAAATTTGTTCGTACCAGACTGTCAACATGCATATTTTTGATGTAAAGTTGGTTATTTTGAAATTTGAGTCTGTAGGGACTGACTCAGTTATAGAGCCAGCCTCAAGTGGCCACTGGATGAACTGCAGGTGCCATCATAGCAACCAGCTGCAGAAACAACACTCCTAGGTTTAAGAGGCCACTGATGGTCTGCCTTTGCCCATAAACTGCACATGTGCAATAAAGCAGTCATGTACTAACTGCACTTTATACCTTTTCAGGATGTGGCATCAAGTGCAAGGAAAGGCCAATGGAACTTGTCTTCGTCATTGACAGCTCAGAGAGTGTTGGGCCTGAGAACTTTGAGATCATCAAAGATTTCGTCACGAGGTTAGTGGATCGGACCACAGTTGGACGCAACGCCACCAGAATTGGCCTGGTCCTCTACAGTCTGGATGTTCATTTACAATTCAACTTGGCTCGCTACATCAGCAAGCAGGACATCAAGCAGGCGATCAGAAAAATGCTTTACATGGGAGAGGGCACTTACACTGGCACTGCAATTAGAAAGGTGACTCAGGAGGCTTTCTTCAGCGCCCGCCCCGGTGTCAGAAAAGTAGCCATCGTCATCACTGATGGTCAAACTGACAAACGAGAGCCTGTCAAGCTTGATGTAGCTGTGCGGGAGGCTCACGCTGCAAACATTGAGATGTACGCCCTGGGAATTGTCAATTCCTCTGATCCAACCCAGGCTGAGTTCTTACAGGAACTCAATCTTATAGCCTCAGACCCAGACAGTGAACACGTGTACCTCATTGATGACTTCAACACGCTAACAGGTGAAAGTCAAAGCCAGATACTTTAAATATCGTGAGGAGTTTTAAAATGCCTAATAATCCCACTTTTTCTTTCATTTTTCCACAGCACTGGAGTCCAAACTTGTCAGCCAGTTCTGTGAAGATGAAAATGGTGCCTTTGTTTACAATCACATTGCCAATGGACACCGGAATGGTAACAATGGGCTTAGTGTTAGTGGAAATAATGGAGCGACTACTAATACCTATAATGGCTATGACAACAATGGTTACATTTTTGGAAACAATGGATATGGAAACAGTTATGAAGAAGAAATCCAAAACCAAAGACACACCAATAGCCGTGGCCGTGGAGACACTTTCCAACTGCCCATCAGTGCCGATCCTCTTCCTGTTCAGGTCTCGTCTTCACTGTTTTAATTACATAATACTTTGTTATTTACAGTAAATGTATTTATTGCAATATTGAAACACTGTGCTGCTGTTTCACACAGGTAACAGAGGATGATGATGGTGAAGATTTAGATTTAAGGGCTCACGTGCGGGGTGACAAGTATCTGTCTAGAGTCAACAAAACAACATTTATATCACCTGGTAGAGAAAGTTCTGTGTCCAAAACAACTGTTGTATCATCTTCATCATCATCTGTATCTGGAACATCTTCATCAACACTGACTTCAAGTTCCTCCTCAAACTCAAATCAGTTACACCCTGTGGTGATTCCAGTTCAGCCTGGAGGTGAGTACCACACTCCTGTACTGGATATGTCCCAGAAAGAAAAACATAAAAACTAAATGAAAATGGATAAATCATCTGGGTTTTTTTGTCATAGCTTAACAGGATATCTCTGCTTTACCTGCTGAGGCAAATCAATACACCGTGTTAATAAAAAAAAAAGGTTGTAAGCTGTGTGGGGTTGTAGTACATGGAAATTCTCCATAGTAAAGTCGTGAAAAGGGAAGATTTCAGGGGACTCTATGCAGTATTGCAGTCTAACTTGTAAAGGTTTAGTAGCAATAACTTAAAGCAGCTGTTTTCTGTATAACTTTAATAGTCTCTCACATCATTTTGGAATTTTGGCCCAACTGTTACAGTTTTGCTTCAGTATGTTAAATTTGCAGGCATTCATTTGTACACATCTCTTTTAAGGTCCTGTCACAGCATTTCAGTTGAGGGTCGAGGTCTTCATTTCTATTGGGCCATTAAAAGATATTGGTTCTTTTCTTTTTAGCCTTTTTTTGTAGCTTTGCTGATGAGCTTGGGATTAATGTCTTGTTGCAAGAACTAATTTTGACTATACACTTTAAGAAACCTTGAATCTATCAGTGTTAGCTCTGTCGGGAAAGGGCTAAGTCTATTCTTCTAACACATAAATGTTTTTTTAGTAAACATGTGTCTCACATACCATTCCCTCTTCAGAGACCCCTCGTCTCGATCCCCGCTGTGACCTCAGCTTAGACCAAGGCACCTGCCGAGACTATATCATACGCTGGTATTATGACAAGCAGGCCAATGCTTGTGCACAGTTCTGGTACGGAGGCTGTGGTGGAAATGGCAACCGTTACGAAACAGAAGATGAATGCAAGAAGACTTGCGTTCTGCTCAGAAGAGGTAAAATCTGTAGATTTTAAACAGTAAATGTGCATTTTTGTTTATTGATGTTTCGTCTGTGAGTATCATTTTGTCACTTCATTGTCCATTTTAGGTGGATAAAAGGAGGAAACACCATCACTAGGAGTCTAGCTCTACAACCTTCAGCTTTCCTCATTTTAATGAGATGCCTTGTGACTCTTGTGTCACAGTTGGCCTTAGACACAAAAATTTTTTTTAATAAATAGAGAGACAGCTGACATGTTCCTGGTTTAACAAAAACAAAATCAGATTGACTTTTATTTTATTAAAAAGCCTTTCTTACCTCTGTGATATTGTATTGTCCTTCCTAGGCTTAAAATTCTATGGATTATTCTTATACCTCACCCAGACATGCAGTTTATATATTCTGAATATATTTAGAGTAAAACAGCATTCGTGAAATGTTTTATATTATGCTGATATATGTGTTTTGAGTACTTTTGTGTTTTCCTGTTTGTTTTTCCTGATTCTATTGCAATGTGTCCACATGGGTAAAACTGGCAGCTGTAATAAAGTAACAAAGGTGTTTTACTACATGTGTCCTGCTTCCAGAGGTTTGCTGCAGATCAGATCTTCTTCTT